AACACCAAAGAACAATCATTTACGGCACAACCCAGGTCACAGAATTAGCAAATCTAACATCTTTTCCATAATTCATGCCTCAATTCACAAAAAGAAGACAACTTTAAACCCATAAGCCAAGTAATGACACTTCAAAATACCATCTAAACCACTAAAGAGACCCAGAACAAGAGAGCAAAAACACCATAAACCAAAGAAATCTCATACACAAATTCAGCAACTTTGACAGGAGTGGCAGAGAAGACTCCTCGTGTGCTTTGCCACCAGAAAGTTCGCGCCATGCACTTTTCCGTCACAGTCCCAACACAGACTCGCCTGGTCGGACTCACAGTATATTCCGGCGGCGCCTTCGCACAGCTCACAGTTCTGCATCTTCTTTCCCTGGATTTCCCCTTTCTTCATCTGCACTTACAAAACCCCAAACCCACCAACAAACCCCTCAAAACACCCATCAAAATCACTAATTTAAGAGCATAAACTTGATTTAGCTTCCATTGAGGAAACAAACATACCTTTGCTTGGGCTCCTCGAAGAGAACAAAACAAGGGTTAACAAGGTTGTTAAGCTGTTGAAGAATGGAGCAGGTTATATGGGCTTTTATTTTGGGGTTGGATTGAGGTATTTGTCCAGGTGGCACCTCCATCTCAGCAAAAAAAAGGCCACGTTAGACCTAGGGGAACGGCTGATGGGTGAACTGTTAAATATTAACGGAAGCGTTAAGAGAGGGGCTGATTTGCCACTGCAGGTGAGTTGAGGGGTTGATTTGCGCGTGAAGTGTGTTGAGGGGGTGATTTGCCACCAATTGTTGAGTTGAGGGGGTGATTTGCACCTTTTGCCAAATGATTTCCTCTCTGCAAAAAAACCAACATAACGTGGCCCAATGAAAATGGAAGTGTTGGTTGGAGAGTGCAAATGGCGAGTGTTCCTAGCATTGCTCAAATGTAGTGGAATATTTTTCTCTGCCTCGGGTCTAGAGCTCAGCTCCATGTGAAACGCGTCCTTGTGAAATCGAAAAGAAATGCCGCTCAATTATGAATGGGCATGAACAATTGTCGTTAAGAAATGTCAAATCATTTAAAATAGTAAACATTAATATTGGTGAAGGTCACTAGTTTGACATCCATTTAATATTTCGTACATAATCCTATTCCTATTGGTTAGAATCATTCACTATAATTTCCTCAAAAAAAAAAAAAAATCATTCACTATAATTTTTTTACAATAAAACTTTTTAATTCATTATATAAATTAATTTAAAAATTATTTTATAAAACAAATGTCATACAATTCATTTTATAAAATTAATTAAATATTTTTAAAAAAATAATATAAAAAATTTTTAAATAATTTAAATAATTTTACAAGACGAATTATAAACAATTTATTTGTAAAACAATTTTTTCTAAATTAATATATATATAATATAAGCTCATATATAATATGAAGTATTACAAAATAACATTGCAGTTATATTAACTTTGTATAACTTAATATTATGCCGGTGGTTTCCTTGTTATTTTTTACGCACAATTCACAATTGTGTCTGTTCTGCACGGTTAGGCAGAGTGATTAATTATTTGTCTTTTATGGAGTATACCACTTTTCATGGGTGGATTAGAAGTGAGTTAAAAAATTTATAATTTAAAAATTTTTTAAAATGAATGAAATAGTAATTGACAAGTACATTTTGATTGAATTTTAAGTTTATTTTGATTAAAAATTAAATTGAATTGATTTTAAATGATTTAAATTTTGATTATTAAATTTAAAAATTTAAAAATTGATAATTAAAGTGAATATAATTAAAAATTTTAGATTAAAAATTTTATAAAATTTT